TTTTTTCCACCCAAAAATGACTTCTTAAAATGTAGGATTGTGTTTTTCCGATGCAACTCAATGAGCTCTATCTAACCATGCCAAAAGCGCGAAAAAAATTTCGTGCTGTACCTTTAAATTACTGACACCTTACACATTTCACAGTTCATTTATTTTTTTACTTATGAAGAGTATAATCGTCAAACATGACTTGCTTAAATGTAGAATAAAACAAAAATATCTGATCTTTCATGCACAGATATAGTCAACCAAAAAAGTAAAACAAGCAATAATACAGAAGAGAAGTATTTGTATTGCAGAATCAGAAAAACATCAAACGAAACGCAGATGGAAGAAAGAGAAAGACATTCTTAACAAAAAGTAGAACACACACACACACACTTTCACTTCTGCGAATAAGCGATTACGTTGTATCTGCATAGACAAATGTATTTTTTTGCTACTATAATTCCTTCCTCTAGTTTTGTTCCTCGTGCAGTTATGTGGATCGGAACTAACTACTGAGAACTTCACGATTACCTAAAAATTATGAAGATAAGTTATACTGGAAGAATGCGACTAATACTAATCTTAGGGGTGATGAACCTACAAAAAAGTTAAATATCAAACTGATACTCGTTTTGTGCTATTTAGATCGGTCAGTCTTCTAAAATATTCTGTCGAGGTTAGAGTGTCAGTTTGTTTCTTATACAGGCTTAATGATACACGAAGCTTTGTGGTTTATGGGAAATTCTTTGACTGTGGTGCGAAGAAAAAGAGAGAAGTGCAACGCAGCTGGATCTAGATCATTATGAATAGTTTTACTTTTGCAAAGAACTTTTACCCAGATATCACAACTTGCAATTAGAATACGTACAAACGGCAAAATTATCGTACTACTTCTGAAAGTGCACAACTAATTTTCTCTAGTTCTCCCGGATGCTCCGGGAGTATAAAAAGCTAACTCTGACATCTCTAGAAACAAATATGCTCCAAAATTTGTAGAAAACGAGCCAGTCAGAAAAGCTACAGGTAGAGAAGAGGAGTTGAAACTGACCATTCTCACCCTCTACAGATCTCCAAATAATTCAGTTCATAATCACACGACAAAAAAATTGTTCTGATCATCGTTATCGAAGTGAATAATCATTCAACTTTCCTGATCGGCAAAAAGTCATACTGAAAAGTGTCTAATGTCGGAGTCGCTCAAACGTCGGTCGCTCAAGTGTCGGTCGCTCAAATGTCGGCGCTCAAATGTCGGCGCTCAAATGTCGGTCGCTCAAACGTCGGTTGACGTTTTGACATGATAGGACTAAGGTTGACAAAATTCTGCACTAAAAGAGCTATTTTCCAAGTTAAATATTTAAAGAACAGCTGAGTTACACAAACTATCTTTGTCTCATCACTTGTCCTAAAAACATAAACATGCTTTATCTTCTGTTATCCACAGAATAAGCGAAATCCTTTGAAACGAGATAAAGATAGTATGATAAATGAACGAGGTATAGAATTTTTATTAGCCAGTTCTTCCTACGTATCTTCGTCCAATTCTCCCCCAGTCTGTCAATCTTTCGTTAGAAAGCTAAGACAAACTTTTTTGGTTTCTTTTTTCTGTGCAAAATACATTCAAATGCTTTCACCATTCACTCTAACGATTCTAGACATTTTAACGACCAGTGAATCAATGAACTATTGTGTCACTTTTCACAATAACACTTCTTATTTAGCAGCTGTTTGCGGCTGACATGGGAGTGCTGATTAAAGCCTCAGAAATTATCTCCAACACCGTACATCCGATTTTGACAAAACTTTCCATAAATGTTAAGCACAACGACTTTTGGAAATGAAACGTTTTTTTTGTCTCCAAGTTTTACCGTTTATGAATTTTACACACTGTAAAAAATAATTACGGTAAAAAGTGGAAAACAGCAGAAAAATGCAGGATCTACAATATTCCGCATCGTGATGTTTATTCTGGGATATTTTATCATATTGTGAGGAAAACTTTTGTAGAATGCCCATTACGTCTCACAACATGCCACAGTTTCACGAAAAATTATAAACTGTCACAGTATTGTGCACGATTATGAGACATAATGAGAATTCTACTAAAAATTTTGCTCACAATATGGTAAAATATCCGAGAATAAACATCACGATGCGGAATATTGTAGATCCTGCATTTTTCTGCTGTTTTCCACTTTTTACGGTGCAGAGATCAAGGTCCAAAAAGAACGCTGAAATTTTTTCCAAGATTTTTAATATACTTCAAGCTAGAAAGTTCGACTTTGTTTTTAATTTAAACTAGGTATCTAACTACACGGGCTCACCGACGCCGACTTTACAATTAAGCCTTTGTTGATTTTCTAGACAATAAACCGCCTGAAAAAAAACGTTGTGGTTTTAATCGATTTTGTTCATTTACAAACATATGTTTGACAAATAATATTATTTTTAGTTCACTGATATTCTCAAGCAGATAGCGTTGTGTTTGCACCAAAAATGATGAGAAAGTCACTGACAGTGTGAAGAGTGGATCGAAAAACATAAAGTTAGTTTGACAGGCGTTGAAGAACATTGTCTCACACAGCAGATGGAAGTTTGCTTTCATAAGAGATGACTGAACACATGAGAATCATAGAATGTCTCGTGTCCCTCAGCAAACAAAGATTTCAACAAACAAAACTTATTGTGACGTGAAATTTGGAAAAAAACACTAAAGATAAAAATTTCGTTTGTTGTTTTGGTAAGGTGTCCAGAAACCTTTATAAAAAGAACAGTCCATAAATCTTGTTCATGACAAAGAACTTGATGCGTTCGGGTATCTCCGACTGTTGATGCATGTACTTATCCAAAAACCGACATTTCTGACTAAAATTAACATGTACGAATGAGCTTTAAAGGGTTTTCATACAAATAATTTGGAGGCGTATAAATATTCTTATCTGAACCGGTTTATTTTGAAACTGTACTTTTTAACAACTATCTAGCTGAAATTTTATAATTAAACTAATATGTACATATATATATACAAGAAAAAGGTGAGCGTCGGTAAACGCTATAAAATGACTTTTTTTAATATGTTATGCTTAAAATCGACTGCATTAATGGTTCTATTTCATTGAAATCGGTTTTTGTTCTCAGATGTTGATCTCTTTGAACAGTAAGTTTTTGAAGATTTAAACACTGTGAAATAATTAAATTAAAAATCACAACTGCCTCGTATTCACCATAGGTGTGTAATGTATATTTCCATAATAATTCTGTATAAAAAGTTTGAGCTTTATAAAACTGTAAGCTATTTTCATTATTCGTTGGAATTGATTTCATATTATCTGTTGTAAGTAAACTTGTACTAAGTATTAATATAATCAGTAGCAGTTTAATTGTTGTTGAATTGTGAACAAATATACTACATTTTGTGTTAAAATTGGTCATTTTCCTATGAAATTCATCGCCATGTACTGTTAACATAATGTTCTCTGGAGCTGATTGTACATTGAAAGAGCTAAGTAACAAGAAGTTTAGTGGCATGAGTGTTCGTATATTACATTTAATTAATTTCATTTGATCATCGATATCTAGTTCATGAAATTCTGGTATATTTTTAAAAAAAGAGCAAAGAGCCATATAAATGGAACATTCGATATTGACTAATTTTGTTAATGTTGTTGAAGAGTTTAAAACGGAATAAGAGTCTAAAGCGTCGGGTTTTGTCTCTTGTTCATAACAAACAATAATATTGTTTATTCGACAACGATCACCTTGACTAAGCAGGGATACATCGTTATTGAGAATATTTAACGTGCAAATCTAAACACTAGAGCAAATGAATTTTCTCTAATATGTTTGATGACTTGTGCGTGCAAACTCACCATTTTTGATTTTAAAACCCCTTGTACTTCTTTCAGTCGTTTACTCTCTTTAATTTCTAATTTTCTTAATTCATTTTCGTTTTTCGTTCGAATATATTCTTTGTTCATTTTCATTTGAAAACATTTCTTCAATCGACAATATGTGCAATGTCTTCGAGTGAATATATCTATTTTACATGAGCCGCTAAAGCGACATTTTAAATAGGGCTAAAACGATCGTACATACATTTAATATATTTTATTTATAATTGATCACATCGTTTTATACTCACATTGTATCGAAGTGCGTTTCGTCTGAAGAACGCTTTACAACTTTCACACGTTATTTGACCGAAATTAAACCCAGTGGCTTTATCGCCACAAACACAACAGGCAGTCTGTTGTTGTGTTTGTTGTTCTTCTTCAACTTTTTGAAGATCGTCCATGTTTGAAAGACATGCGAGATCACATGAAATTTCGGATAGATCAGTTAATTGCATAAAATCATCAAACTAAATAAATTAAAGAAATAAGAGAAATTAAGGTCTTGAAGTTTTTACATGAAATAGTTACACTACCTGTTCAAATGGATCCGGTGGGAAATCGATCATGTCCGATAAAAATGTATCAAACATATTGTCCATAGTATTAAACGAGTTGAAATTATCATTCATTATTGTTTGATCTGGTTGTAGATACATTACAATCAAATATGATAGTCTGAAAGTTAATAAACAATGATGATTAAGAATGCTTTAAAAAGAATACACCGGCAAAAAGAATATAAAATATCCCTTTCATATCTTAGATAGTCCACATGAATTCATACTTCGTACAAAATGTTACGCAGAACGGAACATATATTTATACATTAGCAAATATAATCGTAATAAAAATGAGAAAAAAAAGAAAACTAACTGTAGGCTTAAGTCACGATTTCTTTTTTTTTTGCTGTAGTAGTCATCACATGAATCACTCTGTTTTCTGTTCTAAGGGTACGGTCAAGGTATAGAGTGTGTTTTTATTATTATTAAAAGGTAAGAAATTACTTTATTCGAAACAAAATATATTTTAACGTTTATATGAGATAGATATTGATCTGGTATGCATTTGAAGGACGATCAGTCTTAGCAAGGCGTACTTCTTTGGATGGTTCACACACCTCGCCGGTGTGTGAACCAAAATTTCAAATTGTATGCAAAATCCTCATCCAAAGAAGTTACGCTTTGCTAACACTGACCGTCCTTCAAACGCATACTAGATCAATGTCTATCTCATATAAACATTAAATCATATTTTGTTTCGAATAAAGCAGTTTCCTACCTTTTTAAAAACACACTCTATACCCTGACCTTACCTATAGAACAGAAAACAGAGTGATTCATGTGATGACTACTACAGCAGAAAAAAAAGAAATCATGACTTAAGCCTACAGTTAATTTTTTTTAAGCATTTTTATTATCATTATATCTGTTTGAAGTATATGTATTCGGTAGGTATGCACCAGTATCGGTATACTGAATACTGGCGAACATTGATGTTGAAAAAAACACATTTTTTTAACAATTTCAATTATCGTTTTTTCACACAGAAAGGAACATTTTTGAGACTCGAGTCTCGAACACGAAATGCAGTAAATTTAATTTCCTAAGAATTATGCGCCGAAGTCGCGTTTCTAGAAGCTGCGTTTCAGTGTGGAAAGGATTTTTTGCGCGTTTTAGAGATGAAGATTTTTTGCGTTTTGAAAATCGAATTGTGTGAAGCGAGGCGTACTAGGTCAAAATTAAAAAATTAAATTTGACATCTTGTTGTCTCGAGATTCAACTTTGGAAAATACTTCCTTCCCAGTGAAAAAGCGAAAATTCGACAAAAAACGTGATAAAAAGCTTTTTTTTGCTTAATGTCATCATCAACTTTAATAAGTAATTACCAATATCCTTACCCTAGTTTAGCTTCTTAATCGCTGATCAGTTAGCTACTAGAGACTGAAAAAGAACTCATTTCTGAAAGAATAAACAGAATATACCACGACCAGTTTCGACCTTTCTCCTCAGGTGGAATCCTTCCGAAAAGACAGACTTAAGGCATGACAAACAACACAGCTACGTCCGCACCGTGTGAGGATGTTCTTGTTCCTTGTTCGCATTGAACAAAGAATGACAGTTTTCACACGACGAGAATGCTGCACAATAGCACCGGTCACTGCACATATTCTGTTTTTCTCCATTAAGTATTTCGTTCCATTGTATTAGAAAATGATTCATCCGTTAAACATAAAAGGTATCTAGGGACCTTCACTCAACAGACGTTGAGGGAAATGTGAAAAGCACGATACTTATGGTTCGATGTTGCGAACTGGTCACCCATCCTCTTACTAACTGTAGTTATGGCACAGTAGAGAAAGACACTACGTTACAATTCTCTATGTTAGTGGCTAACTTCATAATGTCGCACGGTTTGATCTTCCGAAGTACCCATCCTCTTACTAGTGACGATCGTTGGGTACCCTGGTCACATGGGGGATATGAGGGGTTGACAATGTAAGCGATAACCCCTGTTGACCTATCGATTTGTGAAGGTACTTCTACTGTTATGACACCAGCACCCCATTTGTTCTCAGTAATATATATATTTTGTAGGCCCTGCAATTCTCTATCGAATGATATACAGTAGTTGAGATTTCCTTTGAGCAAAGGGAACAAATGGGTAAAATACTCTAAATAACGTTCAACTAAGGGGAGAAAAGTAAGAATGCGGAATTTTTTCCAGGGGGGTAAAAATGATTTTTTTGAGGTGTTCGTTTTAATAACGGAGAAAAACTACATCAGCCTTGTGAAAATGAGCTTCCTTTGAGAGGGGACCCATTTTGCCTCTTATCGACCCCCGTCCTTTCTCAGCATTTACAATCACGTTTACAGTGCGATAGTACTTGTTTTAGTTTATTCGCCAATTCTTCATCAATGATAATTCAACAGATCGAATATCGTACAAAGTTGGTTTTTCTACTGATTCAATTCTTAGTTCAGATAATGTAACATAATTTCATACACATTGACATCACCACATTGGTATGACTATTTATACAGTAAACCTTCTCTAATTTTTTGACTAACATTATCTCTTGCTTGTTTGCTGCAATTCTTTTACATTTATGAACGCAGAATCGGGTTCAGTTCATTCTAAATGCTTTTAAATAACTTGCTCAATTACTGTTTTTACACAATTTACATATGAATTGACTGTAACACTCGAAGCTGCTTATAAGCATTATTATTTGCAATTTGTTACACGTAATGGAGTTGAAAATGTACAGTTCTATATATTTTTTTCTATCCATTTCAAAAAAAAATATCTGTGAACATTTCTAAAGAACTTTCAACGATGAGACCTGCTGCCTTGCGGTTCCTGCTAATCAACAGACAAGACCGATTTCGACCCTGTTCGGTCACAAACCCATCTACAGTTTTCTAGGAAGAGATGGAGCCTTGATTCTGACATCATTCGACCCCTTGGAATGTAGAATAAAAGTACGTATCGCGTCTTTTGAAATTCCTTTCCGTTCCTGACAAACTTCATTCTTTCTCAATCAGAGGCAAAAAAGACAGAATTCTGCTCGTAGTTCTCAAATTTCTCCATCATAAATCAACTTAAAAATTTCGGAACAGATACCATTCGAGTCGGTTTTTGACGCTAACCCCGATTATGATAGTTTTATTGCATAAAACTTGAGTTCCGATGCTGAAACTTGAGAATTTCACAAAAGAATTGAGAACAAGACTTAGACAGTTATTTCGAGAAGCAGAAATAGACGGACACGGTTTTGGAATAAATAGCGATCTTCTTCTCATTATTTTCGACGAGACTGATGACGATCAATAGATAGTACTGGTACACGACATGCAGTTCAAGATAGCATTACCACATAATTATTGACCAAGATTGATGGTGTCAGTAAGCTTAATAATTTTTTAACCATTGGCGCATCAAATACGAAAAAGTCAATGGAACCGACTCTCACAAGACCTGGTTGATTAAAACAAATGATTGAAATCGATCTACACGATAGTGAAGGTCGTTTGAAAACGTACCATATTTACACAACATTAATGCTTTAAAGTGGAATTTTAGACGGTGAAATCGAAATCGATATAATTATTTTAGAAAATAATGGTTTCACCGATGCACACATTGAACAAGTCCGCGTACAGCAATTAATAATGCTATTCGACGCAAGATTTTAGCACGTAGAGCTCTAGATATAGCAGAATCTTTGGCACAAGAGTTAAGTGTTAAAAATATAGATTTTATAAATGCATTGCTTCGAATATTGCCAGAAGGTTTCATCAAAATCATCTCGAAAAGAACTCAGATCAACCAGGACGCTGAATATTTATCCATTTTGCTGAACATGCTACTCCTGTGTTTCTACATGGACAATGTTCGTCCCACTTTAGTCTTACAATAAGATAAGATTAAGACATAAAAATATTAGCATGAAATAAAACACATCCACCTATGACTAGCATGAAAAAAAGTTCTCCAAATTCTAGATCTCTGAAAAGCAATTTGGTTTAGAGAGAAAATATGTCAGGTAATTTTAGCTTTTCGACTGGAACATTTTCAGAGAAGCAATTCTAATTAGATCAATGAGATGTACTAACATTTTCTTATCAGTTGAATTGTGATCTCATTGCATCACAAAGCGTGATCAACAGAAATGTTAATCTTAATGTTAATTTAGACAACTAATATCATCTTCATCGTCATTAACAACCAAAACTTGTTGTGGTTGCTCTCGTTTTCTATTTTGCCCATTGTTCCCCAACAACGGTGTCGTTTTTGGACGTTTTCTTGTATTGAAATTGGGTAACTTAGTCAAATGAAATGATGATTGTGTTATGAAAGATTTTCGTTTGTTTGTTGACAAACGTTCTTGTACTGACTGCGCTTTACTTTCATTTGGAGGCGCTTGTTTGGTCAGATTTTTCTTCTTTTCAGATCGAGTCTTTTTCACTGTTGTGATTGTTTTCACTACTGCTTTTGATCGTTGTTTCGTTGATGGTAAAGCTAGTTTTGGTGTTTCGTTTGGCTAGAATGAGAAAAAGGATGGAATTTTACCTTCACGAAGCAAACGTACATTAAATAATAATATGATTTTGTAACAGCAGATTTTTCTAAAAATTTTATATCTACTTGTTGTATGTGGATAACATTTTCAATATAATTTTGGTTTAATCTATGTAAAACAACTTCACAATCTTTGAATATGATATTTTTCAAAATTGGTCGACTTTGTAGTCGTTTGTTCATTCCAGTATCTAGTAAACAAAAACATCTTTCAAGTAACTATCTTCCACTACAGTTTTCTACCATCCAAGAACACTATGAGCGTGATACTTGTTCTGTTCGAAATAATAAAATACAGTCAAATTCGCTCTGATAATCGTCAGTATTGTTCACTTTTTATTTCTGAAGAAAGCGTATTATAATCCATTGCCTTTGTTGCGTTTTGGTCTTGAAATACATTGACGTTGTGAAAAATTAATGGATTTCTTTATATTCTTTTCCAGCTATTTTTTCATTTGTTTATTAGATACTTTTAACTGTCCGTGATGTAATATTCTTCATAATTTTTTACAACGGGTATTCTTTTCAAATCTGTTACAACGTACTG